ATTTAACTGCTAATAGATTTCGTTCACGCACAATACCTGCAACGCATACTAATCAAATTGGCTCACTGTAAATTTTAAATATTCCTACTGCAATTAGAATTAAAATGCAACTGTGTTGAACCCGAGTTTCTATGATAGTTTTCAAAGATGTGTCCTTTCTTACCTTATCAGTGCTGCAGTTAATTTTGATGGATTAGCAATGAAGTCTTTAGTCTTGTATTTCATGATTACAACAGTGTTGGTAGATGACTAAACAGCTGTCTTGGCTTTAGTCAAGTCTGGGGGATTATAGTCACTAGGGGAGAGCCAACACCTCTAGAACATTATCAAAATCAGCCTACAGCCGAGTAACCGGACCCCCGCCCCAAATATGTTTATAAAGTAGAATTATCTGAAATTCTCTCTTCAGTGGAGGAAGTTAATTTTCCTAGCCACCATTTAAGATAGGGTTGGGCAAACTATGGCCTGGGGGCCACATCCGGCCCTTCAGACGTTTTAATCCGGCCTTCAAGCTCCTGCCAGGGAGCGGGGTCGGGGGCTTGCTCTGTGTGGCTCCCAGAAGCAGCGGCATGTCCCCCTTCTGGCTCCTACACATATGGGCAGCCAGGGGGCGCCACACGCTGCCACCGCCCCAAGTGCTGCCCCCGCAGTTCCCATTGGCCAGCAAACAGGGCCAATGGGAGCTGCAGGGGCAGCACCTGCAGATGGGGCAGCATGCAGAGCCTCCTGGCCATGCCTCCGCATAGGAGCCAGAGGGGGGACATGCCGCTGCTTCCGGGAGCTGCTTGAGGTAAGTACCGCCTGGACCCTCTCCCGCGCTTCAACCCCTTGCCCCAGCCCTGATCCCCCTTCCGCCCTCCGAACCTCTCGGTCCCACCCTCCTGCATCCCGGAGCCCTCACTCCCACACCCATACCCCTGCCCCAGCCCAGAGCCCCCTCCCGCACCCTGAACTCCTCATTTCTGGCCCCACCCCAAAACCCGCACCCCCAGTTGGAGCCCTCACCCCCTCCCACAACCCAACCCCCCAATTTCGTGAGCATTCATAGCCCACCATACAATTTCCATACCCAGATGTGACCCTCGAGCCAAAAAGTTTGCCCACCCCGATTTAAGAAGTGCCAAGAACTATCTTCAAAACATCAATTGGCATATCATATAACTAAATCACTAGCTATCAGATATCAAAGGGGTTAAAAATATTGTCTTACAACTCATGTTACTAGAGTTTAAAAATTAATTATAGCTAAGACACTACCCAAATCGTGGGATGATCTTCAAATAATAGCGGCTGAGTTGTGGACAGGACATGGAAAATTGTGAAAAAGTAATAATGGACCTTTATTAATTGCAGTAATTTGGAAAAACCACAGCAGACCTATTTGTTTAAGAAAAATGTGCTGGAACAATATAAACACTCAACTATTATGCTATGCTTGTGATTTTTTTATTATTATTATTTTTTGATAACCAGACAACTTGGTGCAACTACAGGCCTGTAACCAGGGCGGGGCAAGCGGGGCAGCTGCCCAGGGCACAAAGCTCAGGAGGGGTGCCCTGGAAAAATGTGGAAAGAAAGAGTAGAGGGTAGAACCCTGCAGCAAGCATGGTATTGACATCCTTACTTCTGCACTGTTGCTGGTGGCGGTGCTGCCTTCAGAGCTGGGACCCGGCCAGCAGCCATTGCTCTCTGGCCGCTCAGCTCTGAAGGCAGCGCCACCGCCAGCAGCAGCGCAGAAGTAAGGGCGTCAATATCATACCTGCTACCGGCTCTACCCCCTACCATTTCCCCCCTGCATACTGGCTGTTTCCTGTTTTATATTAATAATGGCCCAATTTTATTACTGGTAAATTCATAGACAAACTGTTTAAAATAGGTAGAAATATGAAATTTGGGCTTTATCATTTTTCCTTTCAATTATCCATATATTTTGGTTTCCAATTTTGTAAACAAAACATCAATGCTTTCTTTACAATTAGTATTTTCTGGTCATATAGCATTTTGATTAAGTAAAGTTAAATAAAAGATAACCAGGTAGACTTCTTAATAGGCTACGCCTTTATTCGTTGTCTTATCTACAAAACAAAAATCACTTTATCTTAAGATTTTTGTAAGGAATTTCAACTTTTAAGTGAACAAAGTTGCCTCATGTCCAGTGTAATTATACGCAGTATAAAACATACATTTTTTTACAATCAAACTGAGCATCTTTCCTTAATTAGCTATATAGCTCTGATTTTAATTACTGTTACATCATATCCCACCTGCATGAGTATAACATGCAAGAGCCTTTCTTACCTAACCTTCAGTCTTCCTGTACCAAGTTTGTGTAGCAAAATTTACATATTAATTTACATACAAAAGAAATCTTTAAGGCTGCACTGTCATGCACAGTTATAAAATACCAGAATGAAGGTTGTCTGTGTGATTTTAATTTGGCGCCATTGTGCATATTAGTTTAAAGAGAATTAAAGCCACTTTAATTTTGAATGAGGTGTTCGCTTGGGGGGAGGGGGGGATTAATGCAGTTTAACTAATCCACTTCAAATTCACACCTTTAGTTAATTCAGATTAATTTTCCTGGATGTCCCTGTGTAGACAAGCTCTTAACTATGGAGTCACTCCCGGTCCTCTATACTACGCAAAAACTACAATACTATACTAAGACTGATGTTTAAACTTGTTCATAAGTCAGGAAATTCAGAGTTAAAAGAAATAAATGCTCTTTTTAAAAAGGAAAAATGCACATTCCTCCCTACTCTAGAAATGATTGATATAATTAACTTGTGCATGAGCAGAACCAGAACTTTTCAACTCACTTTTACAAATATTTGTTGGACTGTAAGGGAAGTATATCATGTTAATAACTGAAGTTCCTAAATAGTTTTTTTGGTATTTAAAAATATATCTTTCAATTCATCTTAAAGATATCCAAAGCAGCCCTTAGCCTGCTCCTCTGCATGTATGACTTAATTCATAGTATTCTAACAAGTACATTTGTCTAACACATTCTAAGGTGAGGGATGAGAGCAGAGTAAAAACTGTGCTTTAATCTCTCCCCTCCTCTCCCTGCCCCATTTCATCATCTCTCTCAACTAAGCCCTCACCCATTCTATCCTCAGAGGTGCTGGAAGAGGTAACCAATTTAAGAAAACACCAAGCCTCAAGGGGCTCCCTTTCCCATTTTAGTTCAGTCCGCAGCCAGTCCTTCAATACAATGTTGTTCTAGGCTCAGTTCCAGAAGTTCACGTATCTAAATCCTGCTGCCTCCCTAAAGCAACGAAAACAGTTAGACCAATGCCAAGCAGTGGCAGAGCCAGGTTTTGCAACTGGGGGAGAGGGAGGCGATGGGTCATTGGTGACGGGCTGGAGAGTGAGCCTATCAACGCACCCACCTGGTGGGAGCAGCTACAGTCCTGCAGTGCCAGCCTAGCTCCGCACTCCAGGCGTTGCAACCTAACACACGGGGTCACAGTGCCACAGAGCTGCTGCGTGCTGAACGCTATGAGAATTTGTCCCTTAATGTGTTAGGAAGCTTGCATGTTAACCGAAAGAGCGATACTAGCGCTTACAGAGGAGGTAAGGAAATTGTATTATAAACCTGGAGAGCAGTTGAAAGTTCAACCTTGTTTTTGGAAACTCGTTCTCCAAGACAGTTACAATTTCTAAATGTCCTGTAATTCCACTTAACCAAATTCAAATGACTCAGCCTAGTTATCCAAAACAACACTGTGTCCCCCATGTAGCCCTATGTCGGTTACATACCAACTGATTAACTAACATGAAGGCTGCGGGAACTGTGATGTAGAAGGATTTCCAAATAGGATGAGGAAAGGAGGGAGGGAAACGAAGGGAGGCAAAGAGGAGGGTAAGGGAGAGAAAAGGGGAAGGAAAGAAGACGGGAGAGGTGCTGCTTGAATGCTTCCCAACGCTGACAGCCCTGGGATCTGCAGACACCAATACAAATACCAAGGGGAACGGCCAGCTCCCTCCCCTAACGCTGACGGTGCTGGGAAGCACTAAAGCATAGGGTTAAAACGGGACAGGGAGTGGGGGGGAAATAGGTGCTTATATAAGAAAAAGTTCCAAAAAACAGGACTGTCCCTTTAAAAACGGGGTATCTGGTCACCATACTAAAGCAGCCCTAACAAGGCTCTTTCTCTCTTTTCCACCCTCCTCTCTGCCTCCCTCTTTTCCTCATCCTACCCAGAAATCCTGCAGCTTAACATTCCACTTCCATTTATCCAAACGCACAGTTACCCAAAGGAATCAGATGGCCCCCAGACCATTCTGATCAAGGGAACTGTACTGGACTTAAAACCACAAATTCTCTCTCATAGAGCTGGAAGAGAAAAACCCTAAAAAAAGGAAGAATATGGAAGAATACTACATGTTAATCATTCCAGTCATTAGGATGCACGCATCCAGTAACAGCACGTGGGTCCCTTGTTTTGCTAGAAACATCACATGCACAGAGCGGGTTTTCAAACCATTAAAAAACTAGAACATTTAAGAGTAACAAATAGAACATGTTTCTAAAATCATCCCATGCAAATAGAAATAATCTCTGTAAATTGCTTCTTTGCATTAGCTTTGGATTAAGTGAGAGATGCTCCTTAACTTTATTGAAACATGCTGCAGTGTATTAGTCTTGCAATAAAATATAATTCAAAAAGTCATCACACAGTCAAGCTGTGCATTTTGATCCAATATATTTTTGAGTTAAAGCAAAATAAAGAGCCAGATTAATGCAGCTTCACTTCAAAAAGTATGGACATGTCCAAAGCTCTCCAGTTCAAAAAAGATTCACTGCTTGCCACAGGAAATTAGCTGTCATTCTGAAAGTAAACTCTTCCAACTAGGGAAAATAATTCGAGTTCCAACTGAGTTGGTAAAAGAAAAAACTGTCATTTTAGAAACTAAAAACGTCACCTTTGTTTCTCTGTTTGTTTTAGCCTATAGCTCTGCTGCAGTGAGCACAATAAAAGAACTCTCCAAGCATGGCAACCTTCAACAACAGTCACTGGAACGCGACTACGTCCCTTTACCAATACCTTGGTTTTCAAGTGCAAAAGATTTACCCTTTCCATGATAACTGGAACACTGCCTGCTTTATTATTCTGGTTCTATTTATCTTTACTGTAGTTTCTTTGGTGGCGTTGGCTTTCCTTTACGAGTTGCTTGACTGTTGCTGCTGTGTGAAAAATAAAACCATGAAAGACCTCGAGAATGAATCCAATCCAGTTAGAACCATGATGGACAGCTTTAGAAAGAGAGAAACAGAAGTGGTGTAGTAATGATTGATCACTAGAACTCACAGAAGAACCAACAAGAAAATGAAGCCTCTTGCATCTTATGAGCAAGTCATGTGCTTTTTGGGCCTTAAAAATCATTATTAGCAACAATTATTTCACTTCTGGATGTGAACTTGAATGGCTAGCAAAATCTTTATATGGCCCACCTGTTAGAATGTTATGTGGGAAGAAAGATTTTTGTTTTTAAATGAACTTTTGTCATCTATATTTGATTACTAGAGTAAATATTTGTTCATCTGAACAATTCACAATGTTGCTTAATTGGAGAAATACAGATCAATCTGATTGTCACCCTCACCCCTGCCATCTCATGTCTCCTCCTTGGTCTATAGGCTTCTCCCATATGTTTGCCTGCCATGCAATACACCTTAATGTGAAAGGATACTTCTGTCCATGTGTGCCCAAAATCAGGAGAGGTGGGTTGGATTCCAGAAACTCCTTACCTTTCAGCACCTCTCCTTTTGGGAGAAGTCTGCACAAAATTTACCCAAACAATAGTAGTCTTCTTAAAAAAAAGTTTATTAAAAGGAAAAAATGTCAGTAAAACAAAATAAATGGTTTTCATTACACACTGCATCTGAATATTTTGCAAAGCCCAGTGAGGTAGGCTCTCTTATTAGATAAAAAAAGAAAAATGTTCATCCCCAGAAAACATCTGACCACTTCCACTTCCTGGAAGGACCTGACAGCTTCTCCCTGCAGTTCAGAAGTCCCACCCTATCCCTCACCCAAACTGCTTGTCAATTCCTAGGTGTTAGAGTTTATCATCACATCAGAGTGAGGTCACCTCAATATTTCCACAAAGGAGTGTTTAATCAAGAGTACTGTCTGGAGGCAAATGAGTGTCTTTTCCCCCCCATACAAGAACAAATCACCTAAGAGATTCCCTCCCACATCTTCCTGTCTCCAAGTCCATAATTTCACAGATCATTCCTGATCTCCACCTCCCTCCCACACTTCTACCAGTCAAGGGGATTGCCTTTTGAGTTACAGATCCACTGTTCTTGGCTACAGACGTTAGAACACACTTTCATGCTGGATTTATCGAGTTTCTATATTAGGGCAAGCCTACATTACAAAATTAATTTGACTTAAGTTACGTTGACATACAGCCACCACAGTAATTAAATCTCTTTTGCCTGTCCACACTACCTTCCTTGTGTCGGCAGTGTGCATCCTCACCAGGAGCGCTCACACTGATTTAACTATCAGTGTAGTGCATTGTGGGACGGCTTTTGAAAGGCAGCAACAGTCAATGTAAGCAACACAGTATCAACACTGACAATGCATTGACTTAACTGCATCGACCTAAGCACTATTCCTCTCGCATAGTTGGAGTTATTAAGTCAGTGTAGTGGGTGAGTTACATCGGTGGGAGCTATATTTTCGTGTAGACGCTTACAGAGTTAGGTCAGCATAAGCTGCCTTATGTCAACCTAACTCTGTAGTACAGACCAGGCCCCAGCTGTCCAGAGTTAGCACGACTTTGACTATTTTAGACTCTCATCAATCTTTCCTTGCCATGAAATACATATTATTGACAGATCCAAGGACTATCTTGGGTAAAAGTGATCATGACATGATAGAGTTCATGATTCTAAGGAATGGTAGGAGGGAGAACAGCAGGAGGCAGACTTTAGCAAACTCAGGGAGTTGGTAAGATCCCACGGGAGGCAAGTCTAAGGGGAAAAACAGTTCAAGAGAGTTGGCAGTATTTCAGAGACAGTATTAAGGGCACAAGAACAAACTATCCCACTGCGTAGGAAAGATGGAAAGTATGGCAAGAGACCACACTGACTTAACCTGGAGATCTTCAATGATCTGAAACTCAAAAAAGAGCCCTAAAAAAGTGGAAACTAGGTCAAATTACAAAGGACGAATATAAACAATATAACACAAGTATGTAGGGACAAAATTAGAAAGACCAAGGCACAAAACGAGATTAAACGAGCTAGAGACATAAAGGGTAACAAGAAAACATTATACAAATACATTAGAAACAAGAGGAAGACCAAGCACAGAGTAAGCCCGTAACTCCATGAAGGGGGAGTGTAGTGAGGTGGAGCAGCCTCCCCCCTGAACTAGAGAGCAAGGGACCACTATACTCCTCCGGTGGGCAGACCTAAAACCTCCCCACCCCCCGCACCGGACCCAGGGTGGGACAGAAATATAAAAGCAGAGCCCCAGAGCTCAGTTGGGGCTGGAACACGGGAGGAAGCAGACATCCCTTCCAGGAAGCAGAGATCTTTGTAGGATCCCGGACTAGCCCCCAAGTGGAGCCACATCCTGCAGTTGGAGGAGATGGACAAGTATGCCAAGGAACTGCCAGGACCGCTCTCAGATGAATGCCCCGAGGAGCTGTGGGGACTGCCGGCGGCCGAGGACACATAAGAACGGCCATACTGGGTCAGACCAAAGATCCATCTAGCCAAGAAGCTTGTCTTCCGACAGTGGCCAATGCCAGGTGCCCCAGAAGGAATGAACAGAACAGGTAATCATCAAGTGATCCATCCTCTGTCGCCCATTCCCAGCTTCTGGAAAACAAGAGGCCAGGGACACCATCCCTGCCCATCCTGGCTAATAGCCATTGATGGACCTATCCCCCATGAATTTATCTTGTTCTTTTTTGAACCCTATTATAGTCTTGGCCTTCACAACATCCTCTGTCAAGGAGTTCCAGAGGTTGACTGTGCGTTGTGTTAAAAAGTACTTCCTTTTGTTTGTTTTAAACCTGCTGCCTATTAATTTCATTCGGTGGCCCCTAGTTCTTGCGTTATGAGAAGGAGTAAAAAACACTTCCTTATTTACTTTCTCCACACTAGTCATGATTTTATAGACCTCTATTATATCCCCCCTCAGTCGTGTCCTTTTCAAGATGAAAAGTCCCAGTCTTATTAATCTCTCCGCATACGGCAGCCGTTCCATGCCCTTAATCATTTTTGTTGCCCTTTTCTGAACCTTTTCCAAGTCCAATATATCTTTTTTGAGATGGGGCGACCACAACTGCACGCAGTATTCAAGATGTGGGCATACCATGGATTTATATAGAGGCAACATGATATTTTCTGTCTTATTATCTATCCCTTTCTGAATGATTCCCAACATTCTGTTCACTTTTTTGACTGCCGGAGCAGACAAGAGGCAGAGGACAGAGGGCCTTTGGACTATGGAGCCCTACACCCAGACTGTGGTAGGACATAAGGGCCTAGAAAGATGTCCAAGTCAAAGATGACCCCCAGGTTACAGGCCTGAGTGACAGGCAGGATGGTGGTGTTGTCTCCAGTGATTGAGAAATGCGGTAGTGAGGAGGACTTGGGGAGGGGGGTAATTAAGAGCTCTGTTTTAGCCACATTGAGCTTGAGCGGACAAAAAGACATCCAAAACAACTGTTCACTCAGAACTAGAATCAGACCAAATTCATTCCTTTTAGGACACACAGTAGCAGTACTGAACACTTCTGATATTGGCTGGGTCTGACACTGACATAAAAGAGGAAATAGCTTTCCAATGAGTTGCTTTGACCTAAATACCCAAAACACAGCTAAGCAGTTAGGGTTCTTACGCACACAAAATACATGACTCAAATCCACAGAAGCAAGGAAATGAAAAATTATGCCCTCCAACAGTACACAACCTCTATTCCCCCCACCCACAGGCATACACTTTACTGTTAACAATACCACCCTACACTACAGACCACAACTTAAACTCTTTGCTGTTCTGCACACACACCCCTTTCCCAGATTATATTTATCCAACATTAGTACTTGTGGATGTTTGGTATAGTAGTTGGTTATGCAGAGAGAGGGTAGGTTGGGGTAAAGGGTATGTGTAAAGGGGATGATGGAAGGCTGGCATCCCTACTGGGGAAACGTTAAGGTCCTGGTGTGTGGTGTAGGGTAGTTGTGGCAATGGTAAGGTGTGTGCCCCTTCCCCCACCGGGTGTAACTGCTAACCCTTTGGGAATCTGGAGCATTTTAGAGCTTCAGTGCAAGCATCAACACGGACTGTGCCAAAGTCACCAGTGCAAGAGCGCTGGGGTGGCAATGTCAAAGCCACAGCTTCCTGCGCCAACAGCAATATTCTCAGGGCACAAGAGTCCCCCGGAGGTGTCTAAAGGAGAGTTCAGAGGCACGCTGCATTTTTCTTCCAGGCACAGGATGACATCTGCAGCCAACTCTGATACTCTGCTTATTATGGTCAATATCTAGGCAGATAGAGCATACTGTCATCTGTCACTGACATAGTTCTGCCATACAGTCATGTCTTGAAATCACTGAGCAGTCTCTTTCTTCAGAAAACTTTCCTGCAACAAAGATAGGGTGCATCAAGAAAAAACGGAAAATCAGTGAGAAAGCCTGAGGCAGAAGCTGATAGGTCGAAAATGCACTCAGAAGGAAAAATAAGCAGCGGAGAGGCACACCAGAATGCTAGAGCACCAAAATAATCTTTTATATGCTGCCGAACTGCACTGGAGCACTGAGGCAAAGTATGAAGTTGACTGCAGAATACAGCTGTCCCTGTGCTCAGCAATACAGGTCACCAGGACCACATCACTTCTATTCACTGCTCTCTGTTGGCTCTTCACTGAACATGGAAGTCAGTTTAAAGACATCTGACGTGCCTTGCCAAACTCTGCATGGAACTGGCCTTAGCTACTGAAACACCATCTCTCTCTCTCTTTCTGATTCCAGTGAAACTATTGGCCAATACAGAGCAACTTGTAATCACAGGTTACAGAACCTTCCCAGGCTGATAGATCAAGACTTACTGCCAGACAAAACAAGAATGACCCTAACCACATGGCACACAAAGCAAAATATAAAACCCAGTTCTTTCTCCAAGCATACACCTTTTTATTAAATAAATAAAAAAAAATCTTAGCTAGCCCATTGGCAAGGAAGGGAGAGAGAGATCACTTTGTTGTTGACTTTACTCTTGGGAGACACTCAAGGCTTGTCTATATTATGGGGACTCTAGCGGCACAGCTATGGCATGGCAGCTATGCAGCTGTAACCCCATGGTGTAGATGCACACTGCACGGACGGAAGCGGTTTCCCCATTGCTGTAGTATCTCTACCGCCCTGAGCAATGGAGCTAGGTTGACGTAAGCG